CTTTTCGACCGAATTCTACAAAAATTGATTTTCTGGCTTTATTACGCATCAAAACGCATCAAACCCTAATAGAAATTTGTTTCTAAATGCCTCAGGAACCATACTACGTCGTCAAAGTGCCGAAATATTCATTTTTTTATTTTCCATATATGCGTGTTCGGACACTCTTTTTTTAGGTTTAGTTCACCCATTTCGCCACTAGACGGACGCCAATTTTTTAGTCCACAAACTGCACTATTTGTAAAGTGAGCAAATTCAATTTTTACATTGAAGTCTATGAGGATCAGTTTTTTCGGTAATTATTCCTCCGTGACAAGTCTGATTTAAAATTTTTTTTTCTATGTCCATCTGGATGTACGTACGCATGTGCGTGCAAAATTTGATGAGAATTGGTTGAGTGGTGCAAAAGAAAAACGCCGACAAAGAAGTTGGAAAATCAAGTATAAGAGTTTCGCTCGCCTTCGGCTCGCTCACTCAACTAGGAATGTTATAAGGATTGTAAGGATAATAGGATCTAAAAATTTAGGAACATACAACTTAACATAATGCACATACAGACACTGTTGTGAATGCGCATCGCATTTCGTTTTTATAATACACATCTTTTGTACATCATCACTTCTTGCAAAAATTTGTATACGTTGTTCTTCACGTATCTATATTGAATTCATTGGTACATGCCTAAGAAAATGAAAAATCGGGCATGGTGGGGTAAATAAGTGCAGTAGAAACTTGCTGAGTTGCGCAGAACTTCTTTATTCTTTCTTTGAATTGACTATATAAATCAATTTATCATGTAATTTATTGTATGTACGATGTGTGTGAACAATGTGAAGGATATGTTGTGTATGTTTGTTTACGATATAATTCATTCAAATCAATAGCAAAATTATTTTTACTTGAATTAAATGATTCCATAAAATGTTTGTAAATATAAAAATACACTGTTAATTAATTTAAAAGTATTATAACCTCGATATAAATACATATTCTTTTGGAGCTACTGTTTATGCTGTTATAAAGTATTAGGTAATAAACTTAATCAGAGGAAATTATTGTATGTGAAATTAACCTTTTAGTTTTATGAACCTTATATTTAATGAACAATTTTTAGGTACTGTACAATCATGAATACGAAAAAAGTTATAACCTTTGGGAAAATTAGCAAAAATTTAAATAAAGAAACACTCCCAAACACAGAAAATGTAAGTTCTGGATTTGGCGTTTTTGGTAAAAAAGTACCAGAAACTAATATAACCAAGATGAACGAGATTAAACCGGAAGATGAAGAAGAAACTCAAAATTTGAAAAATGTCATGGGTATAACAGGATTTGGCAAAAAGGCAAAATCTTTTGATGTACAAGAAATGCTAGAAAATATTACAAGAACTATACATAATAATAAAGCAACTGCAGAGGAAAAGAAGGCTAAAACTGAAGACATCATTCTTACACATCAAGAAGAAGAAATTAAGGATATCAAGACTAAAAATAAAAATAATGAAGATAATGAAGATAATGATGATGATGACGATGATGACGATGATAATTTTATTGGACCTCCAATTCCTTCTGCGCTTCAGAACTCAGATACAGAGAAAATGAAAGGAACAGAAGATAAAGATGATGACAGTGACGAAGATGAGGAGTCTGATACAGAAGAAACACAATTAAAGGATAAAATTCCATGCAGTCATGAAGTTACAATGACTCATGGAACAAAAGCGGTTACTGCTATTGCAGCAGATCCTTCTGGAGCAAGATTAGCATCAGGTTCCATCGATTATGATGTTTGCTTTTGGGATTTTGCTGGTATGGATTCCTCTATGAGAAGTTTTAGAACTTTACAGCCTTGTGAAAATCATCCTATAAAATGTTTACAATACTCAATGACTGGGGATGTTATATTGGTTATATCTGGTTCTGCTCAAGCAAAAGTTTTGGATAGGGATGGTTTTGAAAAATGCGAAACTGTCAAAGGTGATCAGTATATAACAGATATGGCACGCACAAAAGGACATACGGCAGGCTTAAATAGCGGTTGTTGGCACCCATTTACAAAAGAGGAATATTTGACGTGTTCACAGGATAGTACTTGTAGGATATGGATTTTGTATAGGCCACGTGCACATAAGTATTTAATAAAATGTAGAGCACAGAATGGAGTTAAAACCATACCAACCACATGTGGTTATAGTAGAGAAGGCAATGTGGTAGCTTGTGGTTGTATAGATGGTTCCATACAAATGTGGGATCACAGGAAAAATTTTGTTAATCCATCGCTAATTCAAAGGAATGCACATACACAGGGTGCTGAAATATCAAGTTTAAGTTTTTCATATCTTGGACACATGCTTGCAACTAGAAGTTGTGACGATACCTTAAAGCTCTGGGATTTAAGATCATTCAAAACACCAGTTTTTGAAGCAAAAAATTTGTATTCTCGATACGATACGACCGACTGCATGTTTAATCCAGACGATTCGATCGTCGTCACAGGAGAGTCTCTGAATAAAGGTCAAACTACTGGTAGAGTCCTGTTTTATGACACCAAAACTTTTGATTTAATTGATGCAATAGGTGTAACAAATTCACATGTTATTAAAACATTATGGCATCCAAAACTAAATCAAATATTTATTGGTTGTGGAAATGGGACAGTGAAAGTATATTATGATTCAAAGAAGAGCTTGAGAGGTGCAAAATTGTGCGTCGTCAAAACGCATCTCAAACAGAAGCATATCGAAGTAATGTCCACCCAACAAATTATAACTCCACACGCCCTTCCATTATTCAGGCAAGATAGGCCTAAATCAGTCAGGAAGCAGATGGAAAAAGATCGTCTGGATCCGGTTAAATCGAGAAGACCAGATTTACCCATTACTTCTGGGCAAGGTGGAAGAGTCGCGTCTTCTGGAGGAACTCTTAGTTCTTATGTAATTCGAAATTTGGGACTTAGCAAAAGGATAGAGGATGATCAGGATCCCAGAGAAGCTATTTTGAAGTATGCAAAGGTAGCAGAAGAAAATCCATACTGGATTGCACCTGCATATAAAAAGACACAACCGCAAACAATATTTCAAACAGACGAACAGGATGGTGCATCGAGTGCAAAGAAGCAAAAAACTTAAAGATTATGTATTTTGTTTTGTATAAAGTTTTATATTATATAATATCTTATGGTAACTTCTTATGTAATTAATTAGATTAAGACTAAACGTTTAATTAAGAATTAAATAAAATCATAATCTCTCGTATAATTGTTAACAAATTTTCATTTTTTTTTATTACAATGTTTTGCGAATTTATATTTAAATAACACGTAGTAGTGGTACATCGCATATCAAGTTTTGTTCAGACGGCGAAACATTGTTGAATGAAATAGAATATACAGAATAATAATATTTATTTTATAAAAAGTAATAAGAGTTTCTAACTGGAAGGCGGTAGAAAGTTTCGAATCAAATAAATAAACGAAACTTTAACCGACTGACGGTATCACGCTACCAGATGGCAGAAGTAGCGCATAACGATCTTTTTTAAACCGATTTGGCGGGAAAGTGCGAGGACCGTTGAAAGTTGTACGGCGCTTTCATCGTGCGCGCAGATAAGGTTTAGTCGACGAAGGAGTAAGTCGTAGAGGGAGGCGCCCCATAGGACGACGAGGAAATCGAGGACCCGAATCTAAATAAATCGATCAGTAAATAGATCGAGCCTGCTTCCTACTGTTTTGCGATTGGATAGAAAGGGTAGCAGGGGGCAGAGGGCTGAGGGGCGAAGAGGCCGTGTATTTGTGGCGTTCGAGTCGGCAGCTGCGATCGCCTTCTGGCAAACTTTATCGTGACACCGTTTTGTACGTGTTCGAGAGTCAGTCGGTTCGTTCGATCTTGGGTTCGGTGGCCCATCCGATTTCCGATCGATGAATCCAGTGATATAGTAATTTGCTCGGTGGTGCATTTACCGTGCATCGTGGTGGCAGCGTTCCTGCGACGATCCGCCGCGCAACTCACTGGCAAGTAACCTCGAATCATTGACTAAAATTCTCGCACCGCTAGACTATATTCGTTTCGGCCGATGCACTGCCACTTCCGCATACATACTGCAAATTCCTTTCGACACTCGGCGCGCTCCAAACGCCATCCTTTTTGTTTTCAATTTTATATAGACCGTATGATCTACCGTAGATAAACGTATATCACAGATCGATCATAACAATGAATATTACTTTAAGGAAAAGCGATATTCGATGGTATATCGATTGTCAAATGTGTGATTGAATTTGATGTATATCGACTACGAATATTTTATTCTCAGTGCAGTCTCGATGTATGGTCTTAAAAGCGGATTCCTTTTCATGTAAACTTTTACATATACTAATGCTCTCTCGTTATAGCAACGTAAGGAAATTTGAAAATTTGATTTCCTTCTGTTACTTATTCAAGGTCATATATTGCGATAATTGCATGTCGATTGCCAAATGTTCGATTAGAATGCGAGTTGACCGTGAATATTTTATATATCGATTATTCCGATACAAAAACTATCAGTTATGTCTACCGTGTCAACCGATCAGGACGGTACTAACACAAAGACCGCGATTTTACGAATAACCGTGATTTTCGTTGTGCTCTACGTTACCACAGTTTGAAAAGTCTACGCATCAATTTTTTATATATCGTTTTAAATTAACATTATGTAATGGAAATTAATTTAGAAGACTAATATTGTTTATGACTAATTGCATCTAAATTAAGATTACAGGCAGCTCGACGATGCTAACGTCAAAATTGAAATACAATTTCTATAATTATAATCTGTTTCTATAAAGGTCCTTTGGTGTTTAAATACGGAACGATTCAGTTTTAGTACGATGGGTGATGCGACTCGAAGAAATTCAAGCTCGTGAACTAGTTCCGTCTATTTCCTATTATATAATCGATCGAATCAACACGGAAATTACTTTCGAGATTAATTAACTAGGGTCGATGACCGTTATTCGAAAGTAGCAGCAGTTTTTAACATTAACACAAATAAATTTCAGATGTAGGACAACATGGCTGTTAACATAAAATTCACGAAATTCGACAATACACCATGGGGATTTCGATTGGCAGGTGGAAGCGATTTCCCACACCCGCTGACTGTCATCAGAGTACGTATTTACGTTGTTTATACATTTTCTATATATTGCAAGTGAAAGTTCATTTATAAAATTGCTCATAAACTTCTAAAGAGTTGGAATTTTATACATGTGGATTGTAACAAATGTTTGCGCGCACGAATGCACCGGAGTACGGCGGGTTGCATGCGCACGGGGCTGTCGATAAGGTAGGACAATCGCATCAGTTTTCGTCCATGTAGATTTCTGCTTGATCGATCGAGTGAACGAGTATGCGATAACGTACAAGATTACAAATGCACGCACCAAGTTCTTTTAGCCGCAATGCTTATACTTTAATAAATCGAGATTGGCATATTAGTATTCATTTTGAAGATGCAACCGACTATAATCCTCGGTGTCTGAATTTACTTTTTCTCGATCCTATTGTATTAATAGATATAATAGTTTTTTATAATGCAAATATAATAGCTTTTTATAATGCAAACTCGTCGGAATTAAGCAACTTCCTGTTTTCGCGACAAAAGCTAAACGTATTTTTACTTATCGTAAACTTGTTTACTCGATTTGAAGTATTAATAAGTGCACCTTACAACGAATCATAGTGACGTCGGAAGAGCAAATACGTTTAAACGTTCATTAATTTTAGAATATGATTCCGAATGAGCCTGAAAGTCATTTGTCGAGTAAATGCAAATAAATGGAATAAAGCAGAAAGGATCCATCCGTTTAGGTGACAGAGGGAAGTCTCGCGGAATGCATGGGATTGAAGGTTGGCGACGTCGTAGTAAGATTAAACGATCAGCCCATCGGTGCTTTAACTCACGGTCAAGCGCACGAAGAACTAATGAGAGCGGGGAATAATTTCGTCCTGGGCGTACAGAGGTAAGGGCCTCGTTCGACTAATGCAGGATAATGAGGGTAGGTCGTGGAAAGGTTTTCGTTTCCCTACTTCCGGCGGAAATAGACTGCGACATTAACCGTGACAACGATTCGATATCAATGTCAACGCCAGCGCTGTATCGTTGCTTCGGATTGATCTACTTGGACAGCGAAGCTTAACTTGAACTACTTTCGATCGTCTGAAAACTTTATTTTCGAATGCTCGATGATTCGCGAGGCAGATATTGGCCCGACGCGAGCGTCTGGAATTCGTTGATCCGTTAATGATTTTATTGCAAATCGCTGCTCGGGTCATTTCACGCGAGAAGACTAATGAAACGACGAAAAGAGAGGAAATGTGGAAAATTCTGTAAATTGCGTGTACCTGTACGCTCGACGCGTATTATAATAACGCAGCCAGAATATATCCCGGCGTACGGGCAACGTGTGGCAACGAATTGCAACACTTATAAATAGGTGACCCAGAATGAAATCTGTTTATCATTGGTTGGCGATTTTATTGCTGGCATTTGTTCCTCTATTCCCTCATTACCCTTTCGCGAGTGAACCGGCTCGCACTAGGCTTCGGAAAACCGAGTTAAAATCGTCCGTTCGTTCCAATTTCGTTCGTCCGACTCTTAGGTGGTAAAAAAAAGTGTTCTGACAGTTGACAGCTGGCTGTTAAATTCGTTTCGAAAAACATTACTAATCGGTTTAATTATTGTACAGAGAAGGAGATCCTCTCAAGGCTGTGGAGGCGCTGTCCGAGGAGAACATCGTCCCCTACAAGATACCTGTAAGTATTTTAAGCGTGTCTCAATTCTATCTCGATGTTTGTTGTTCGAAAGTACGTCAACGATGTTTTCATTAAAGAGACGTAACGTTGTTTATTAGCTCGCTGATTTGCCGCCGGTCTTCCCAGAAAAGATCTTGACAGAGACTGTGATCGAGCAACGGGAGGAGATAAAGATCGAGGAGAAGGTGTACGAAGAAGAGGCGAAACCCGAAGTGGAACCACTACCGGAGAAGCCTCAGGACGCTAATAGCGAAGTCGTGCCGAATCAGAATCTCACGGACGACGAGATTGCACAGTTGATCCTAGAGGAGGAAGAACTTCTAACCGACAAAGGCGTTTTAGGGTATACATTTATCGTTTGAGCCAGTCTGATTATCTTTTTCGGTCGAGTAACCAGCAATTTTCACGCATTGTATCGCCACGCGTTGTACTATGCGTTAGCATCACCACGTGTTTAATTGCCACACTTTACGTCGCATCAAAATATTTTTATATTCTCGATCGCTTGGCAAGTAACTCTGGAATTCAAGCGCCGCAAATTGTATCTTTTTGCCAATATTAATGCTCTATAAATATTAAGTTATTGCATATCAAATAACTAATTTCGCAAAGTTGATAATCTGCCACGATTCGATGACATAAAAGTAATACAAAATAGTACTAAAGTGTGACAAGCATAACTAGCTAGTTCGTCATTGGAAAATATGATGGACCAATTAGATTTGGACCGTTTGCACTTGAAGATATTTGTGGCATAGGAAACTAGCTTGTTGGAAAGTTGTTGAACACAAATATGTTGTTACGTTCTTCTCTAAACTGCCACAAGATACATGTTTCAATATCGAATCGAGTGCAAAGGGTTAATATCGAATCTCGATCGAAGGGGTTGATCTATCTGTAGAGAAGAAAAAATGAAATCTAATTGCACGATCGTTACAGGGTAAATTTTAAGAAGCTCAGACCCCGAGCAACGGTATTGAAACAATCGAAAGTGATCGAAGAGCTCCAGAATCTCGCCACAGCCGAGCCTCCTTTGGTCGAACAGTTGAAACGGACCTCGGTGTTCCTAAAGAAACCCGAACGACCAGTACCGGTGCCCCGTAAGAAGCAGGAGGAACAAGAAGAGACGGAAGTCGAGTCTTACAAAGTGATAATAAAGAAGCAACAAAAGAGGAGTATCACCGACCGGCTGCTGGAGAAGGGTTTGCTGAAACCCGAAGACGCGCCAAAGACTCCCGAGCCTCCGACTCCCGAGGTAAACATGGAAAGTAACGAGTTGGGGATGAAAATCGAGGAAGACGATTCGTCGATCGTTTCGTTGAAGCAGGTCGACGATGATTCATCTTCAGAACCAACCGTCATGTGTTTCGAGTTCTCTTCTCTGTGTATTCAACCGGAGATCGAGATCTGCTCGATCCCCTCGCCTTCCCTAGATCTTGAACCCAAGAGCGTTACGAGCTCGGAGTCGGATATCGTGCCAGTACAGTCGCCGAGACGCAAAGAGCCCGTAGTAACGTCGCGTCGTCCGCCGAACAAGCACAAGTTCAAACGTTTCTACACGAAGGCTCACTACTTTCGAAGGTGTCTGTTCGGGAAAAGAGGTCACGGTGAGGTTAAAAAGTCGTCCAAACCGAAGTCCTCGATCAGAGAACGTTTCCAAGACGACAAACCGAGCATGCTTCGCGTCGAACAGCCTCAGGAGCGTCCGCGTCGCTGTAGCCTAGAGACATCCAGAATCAAGGGTCGTTACCTTGAGACGTACTTGAAGCGGGAAGATAATTGGATGAGACGCGTGGTCGATGGCCTGTTCGACGAACCTAATCTCGATAACTTTCTCTCGAGCAAACTATTCGGTAAAGCGGTATCGGGCAAACGGATCTCCGCGAGGAGAACCCGTTACGCGGAGAAGATTCTCCTCCGTAGCGTAGAATTTGTCGCGGTTCGTCTTCGCTCCGACCTTGAACGGTACCTCGAACAGGGTGGCTCGATGAACGTCGTCGATTCGTTGGCGTCCAGATCGAAAATCGGCAAACGTCTTTACTTCAAAGGTCGTTACTTTCAGCGTATCTTCTGGCGAAACGTGGCTCGTTTGATCGGCTACCTCAGGGGTGTGACTTGTCGCAAGGACTTCCGAGGCAGAGACAGAAGGAGGAGTTCGGCGATGATCAAGATGAAAGGTCGCTATCTGGAGAGATACTTGGAAAGTACTCTGTTTGATTTGGACGAGTTTCGCGATCGTCGCTCGCGCGTCGTTTCGTCGAAGAGAAAATTGTTTGTTCGAACGCGTTACGTCGAACGCATCCTCAAAAACCATTTCGAGTCTCTCGCTTTGATCGTCAAATACATTTATCAAAGTATTTCCGGTTCTTCCGCCGTTATTCCAGGATATGCATCCTTGAACGTTAGCCAGAAGCCATTAGTTTCGTCCGTCGCGAAAGACGACGAAGGTCTCTCGAGTTTGATTCGTTCTTCCAAAGATTTCATCTCGACGGAGGTGTTCCATCGCGGTAGCAGACGTTTGTCGAGATCTTGCAGAGGCAGCACCGGTTCAGCCAACGTTTCCGGTATTCTGAAGAACTATCTTTTCGATTTCAATTGGTTCAATAGGGAATCGACGAATCTGGCGGCTAACGAGAAGAAAGTCGTTCCAGACAACGATCGCGAGGGTCGTAGATTGTCTTTCGTGCCAACGATTCTGTACGAGGGTCTCACGAATCGAATAGGGGTCGATTTTACGCGACTGGTCGCTTACGCTTTCGTACCTTGCACCTCGATCATTTTGTTGTACATGTACAAGTAATGTATTCGATTCGACGAGTGTTGTTGTACGTCCACGTATGTACACGTCCATCATTTTGGATGATATTAATGATTACGATTATGTTTAGATTTAAAACGACGTCACTTGTTCTAGGACATCATCCCTAACAGACGCTAGATCATCGTGGACCATCTGTAAACGTATATTAAAAAAAGAAAGAAAAAGAAACAGTGTTCGTCGTTCGTAAAGTGTGTGTTGTATCTTCTGTCTAGTGTAATTGTAACATGACTCTAGAGATAGTGATTGTACTTGTTTGGAAGGTTGTGCAGTCGAGAGAAAATTTTTCTTTTTTCTTTTTCTAATAATATTTCATAAAAATTGGGTCAAGTTTAAATTCATATTCAATGTATACATATTTAAAACAAATATGAAATATTACAAAGTGGTCATACAACGAGAATTCGTAGTGTCGATCAACGGTGTCATTCATATCAGTGAGCATGTTCGAATGTCACGGAACGTGTTAATCAGAAAGGATACAACATCTGAATTGATTTGTTTGATCAAGTGACATGCACGGCCTAACAAGTACAAATAATGTAGTACAATGTTTAAAGAAAAAAATCGAAGTGACTCATACACGCACGTTGACTCATTCTAGTTTAATCAGTTTAGAATTAAAAGTTTGGTATCTCGCGTTATCATGCACGCGCAGATCGATGCATGTTACACCTGTCTATCAATATACTGTTCTCATTGTCAATGTGATGGATTGTCGAGAAAATAGTATGTTCGAAATAAAAAGCATATATTATCTGGATGCATCCGATGCTAAAATCTGGATAACCCTTAACCTGTTAACTGGGGAAGATCAGTTAATAGTCACGTGGCACGCGTGACAGAATCGAGAGACGTGAACTTATCCTATCTTTACAACGATTAATTTCATTCACCGATTGCGGTAGACTCTCGGTACGTTTCTTCGTATTTACGCGGTTTTCTAGTGACAAATCTTGAATAAACAATCTTGCCGAAATATTGAAACGAGAGTCTACTGCAGTTACATTTACTTTTCCTTCATCTCTATTTATTTCGTTACTTCGAATAATAAATTTTTTTAATAAAAATAAGAAATAGAACGCGATTATTCCAAAACTAATTAAATAAAATTGATTCGGACACAAATGTATCGGGACAGGAGATTAATGGACATTTTTGGAATAACTTCGTTTTATTTACATTCTTTAATTCTTCGTTAAAAGAAGAATTATTAATTACTTTTTAATACATGTTTTATTTAAAATTTATATTTATAAATTCGCGTAATATCCAATTTTGCCTATGACACCCTCCTCTGAATGGATCTACGCGTGAACCCTTTGCGATTATGTTTACTTAACACATTGAACCCCGGTAAATATCGTTGACTTGTTCGATGTCTAAAAGTAGATACACAATCTCGAAGGGTTAACACAAGCGATCCGTATGCGTTTGATTATCCACTGATTCTGACACGATTAAACGAACCATTCACTATTCCACGAGCTTCGTATACTCTGAACTTTTTCGTTTGAATCCAGGCCACACCGGCGCCGACCCCAGAGCCAGCTTGTCGATCGGATCAAGAGCTCGATCCGTCGCAATCTCGTCCGGAATCGAAAGCCGAATCCAAACCGGAGGAAAACGAGGCGGAACAAGAGGAGAGAACACCAGAAACAGCTTGCAACGAGGAGAACGTAGAATCGGAAGAGAAGGAAGAAAAGTCGACGCGGGAGAAGGTTTTGGGGGAGATCGAGAAAGAGATGGCGGACCTGGCGGCAAAAGTGGACAAACAGAAGATCAAGGAACTGGTGAGCACGGAGATCGACCTGGAGAAACAGCTGGAGAACGTTCAACGACAATTGCTGGCGTTGAAGCAGCTACCAAGCGAGATCGAGTGTCACCTGCGAATCGTCTCCGAGCAACTGCAGAAAATCATGGAGCTGAGCGGAGTCCAAAATGGCGCCACCGGTGACGACGAGGGGCGACGGGGTGCGTTTGCGATTTGCTAAGATTACATTTTCGTACGGATAGGCCTCGATAGGTATCCCGAGCAAAGCCCACGCGTAAGAATATTTTCAAATTTCATGCGTTCGAGCCTTTTGAAGCGGTGCCAAGCGTCGACTATGCAGGCGACCGAGGGTCCCGTTGCGAAATCAGACTGATGTTATCCGTTCGCGTTTCTTCGACGTGACTTTGAGATAGGAATTCCTTTGGAATATTTCTTACGACAAATAATTTTGCGCTAGATTGCCTTTCGTTGGTTCTTAGTACTATGGCCGTCTTGGCGCCTGAGAGAAGAAGGGAAGGTCAAGTTAACCGTGACACAGACTCGCAAAATTTCTACAACGATTTAAATCAAGAAATAGATAAGTTGAAATGTTTTCGTAAATGCTAACGTGTAATCACGTTTCAGAAACCGAAGAAGCCGACCAAGGCGCAAAAGAATCGGAAGAGGAGCGCGAAGAAGTCGAGGAAACGGAGGAACAAGATGTGACGGAATACACAGAGGACATTTCGTATTCAGCGTACTCGGATGATGCCCCGCGAATAACCGTGAGAAGCGAGGAGGAGGAAGAGTACGAAGAGACGGAAACGCAAGAACTGGAAGGAACGTTGTCGGTAAAAAGCGAAGAAGGAAGCAGAGTGAAGAAATTCGTGGTCTCGTATGAGACGAAAGTTTTAAAGTCTCCAAGTCCTGCGCCTTCTCACGGTAAATATCGAATTATCAAATTATGAATTTCAACTATCCTCTATAACCACAACTTAATCAATTTACATTTGAAACTAAAAAGTAAATATATACCGTGTAAGATAAGGATAACGACAACGGGATGATGTGCATTATAGGTAGTTTCGAACCAGACCCAAATCTATCGCCAAAAGATCAAGTTATTCAAGAGTTACAGGTATTGCAGACAGTGATGTGGAATGTACAATAATCTCTGTTACTCTTGTCTTCATCCCTTGTGTCATCTCGGAATTTCTCCCTTTCAGAATATTTCTTTCCGAGAATTTCAAATAAGACCCGCATTCTGGTTGTCCGTCACTGTATTAAACCGTGTTTTTCAAGTTTTTAAAGACTGTTGTGTCCCCAAAATCCGTGGTGAAGTTAATGTTGTTAGATCATGTTAATATAGAACCAGAAGTTCAGTTCGAGGCACAACTCGAATGTAATTAACCATTCGATTGAAAAGACAAATACGTTTTGTCACTCGAGAAGGTTTAACGACTATTCGTGTTAAATGTCTGAGTGACTAGGAGAATTTGAAAGTCCTTAAAGTTTGTATAGTTAACGTTACATCCGTGTCGCGTGCATTATACCCGGGTCGTTTTATCGAGAAGCACGCGAATCCTGTGGTAACCCTATGTCGAAAGCATTCCTGGCTCGTGAAGAAACGTTAATTTCAATAACCATGGATGGTGGAATGACGTTTTACGTGTTCTTTTTTCCCGCAGCAAAGAGTAAAGGAAAGAGGGAGAAAACGTTCGCAAGATCTCTGGCCCCAGGCTAAGCAGGTGGAACTTACGCTTGGTCGTAGATGGAGGTGTCCGAATGATTTCTTCAATGATGAAATGATTGCCGAAGTATTATCTTCCCAGGCGGAAGTTATTCGAGGCAGAGCCCTAGGGTAAGGTCACACGATTTAATGCTGTATTTACCGACGGGGCAGCAAACATGTGTTTTCTTTTTTTTATCACGAACAATAGTATGTATGTTTATTAATAAAGTGTAGTTCTCCATCAATAATATATTCAACTTCATTTTCTATGTGAGTCATTCATTTGGTGACTAATTCTCATTTAATTTCCTGTGCGAATAAATTGCTCGATTAATCATGCGATGGATAAAACAATTTCCCCACTCAAGCTAGATTAGTTGGCTATGAAAATTATCAAAGGCTCGATAAGACTGTAAAAGTTTGGATAAGTTCGACAATCGTGATAAATTAGAAAGTCTCGGTAGCGCCTGACAGAACTCGGCATAAACTATTAACGCTCGTTTTACGATTCATCGGTTATAGAGTAAATTTTAAGAAGTACGAGAAGACGAGTCTACCGAATTACGATCACTTAATGAACTCGAGTGTCTATAAGATGATTCATAAGATGGATCGGGAACCGAAGAGAGGAATTCCAGCTAGACCCGCCAAAGTAAACGCTGCCGAGGACATAATCGAGAGGGTCGTAGGTATCCCATGCGATCCGAATCTCCCCCGAGACATTCCATTCACGGCGTATTATTTCTGATCCGTTTTTATTGCAGAAATCCCCGGCGTTGAGCACCACGGACGATAGAAGTACTCGAAGCGTCAGCCACTGAACCCGTGAAGTCATCGGTGGAAAAAAAAGAATTTTCTTTTTTAACGAGCAGACATTGAACAGAAAGTACCAGAGCCTTTACATAGAGAAACAAAAAAACAGTACTTCAAAACGATATATGAATACGTGCGCTACGAGAGTAATCAAGTATAAACGTAACGTTAATTAAAGTGCGTGTGCGTGTCGTATAGGTTTACATGCCTGTAAGTGCAAGCATTGTGAAAAACCACGTTATAAGAGCTAAACGTTAATAAAAAAGAATTGATTCTTTTTTCGTAAATTGTCGTCTCAACGATATTATTGTTCCATTACTCGAAACAGTTTATAGTAAAAGAAAGTGTAACGGAGTCCACGACTGTTATTAACGACTTCCACAAAATATTATCAAAGATCGTTCAAATGTAACGCAAACCGAATATTTTTATATTTAGAACGCGAGGCTCAGTTCTGTGGTCAATTTGTTCCGCGGACTTAATTCTGTCGTATTTCTTTTCGCGGGAGCACCGAAAAATGTCGTTTAAAATTACGAGACAACGGTATACCGCAACACATGCTGATATAAATTCGAAGATGCAACTTTGCGTCGATGCAAATACTGAACACTTGAAACATTTTTTCGAACTTTTAATACACCATCATATTTCACCTTGAACGATCTTTAATAATAGCTTGCGGAGGTCATCCGAGTAACAGTTATTGCACCAAGATAAAAAAAAGTGCCATTTAACTTGAAAAATATTGACCTCCAAATTCTGAAGTCCGAAAACCCGTCGATTTCGTACAAATTTTACGTACTGACCTCGTTTTTCCAACGAAAATATTCGCTGTTGACAAAACGATACGGTTGATAGCGTATAATAATCATGGAATATTTATTGGAAAATGATAATGGTATCAAGGAAGGTGCAAGGCAAAGTTCCAAATTCTTAAATTTCGAAATTCGCGTTTTCGACGTTGTTAATAGAATATGGATAATCAAAGTCTCCGTTAGATACGGTATATACCATTTCCGAATGGCACCGCGGATGGTTCCTGCTTTGACGCAACGAAATCGCATTGCGGTCACGTTCTACGCAAGATTCTTTCACGGAATCGGATATCCGAGGATTCCTCGTCCACGTTGGTTCGCGGATGAGTCGCGCATATATGTATACTTTCACCTTTCCGGAGATTTCTGACTTCTCCTCGTAATAGCCGTGTGTCCCGCATGCGTACGGGCAAGGCTGAGTCACTTCTTACCGTGGCCAACGAACATATTATTCCCTCTCTCTTCTTCTTCCATCTTTCTCTCGATGGTCGCCTCATGCTTAGGGTCCGAGAACGTGACGTCGGTCCCGAGCAATTTATGTAAAGCATTCTAGGCATGATTCACGAACTAGTTCGCGCCCTCGTGACCGCCACCGGCGCAGAAAATGCAGCCACTCTCTAACAGCACGAAAATCATGGCTCATCCCGTCAGTATACGTATACATGTGGTTCGTTGCGATAGCCGGATGAATTTCAGATCCTACGTCATGCCGATGACGTTTCTCGTTTCACCCATTCACTCTTAAACGACATCCGTTATGGATGCTCCGTGTTTTTCTTCCTCCTAATGATTCGTGCTTTGGGAGCGTTCTCGCTATTTCGGACGAAATCGCTTTCGTCCGGTGCATTTAATACGTTCGAAAATTCGCGTTACTCGTAAGAGTAATTACCGATTTTACATTGTGACCGTTGTTTTTATAGAGTCGGTAGCGAAAGGGTTAAGAGGATGATTATAAGAGGAACGGAGCATTAATCGTTGCGATCGTTGTTCCAGGTACGATCGCGTATGAATGATCGCGTGGAAGGTTGCATGGGCGGACGGTGTTCCGAGCAAGGTGCTTCTCTTCATGGTCGAAGCACCGGGAGCAATGACAGAAGGTGGACCGGTAGGAATCGGCACGATCGAAGAAAAAAGACAGAATGAAATGTCGGGAATGCCATCCCGATACCACCACCATCGCCACGCGTATTCTCAGTCGTCCTTTTCTACTTTTCGTTCTTTCCCTCCTTCATTTCTTTACTCTCTTTTGATACCTTTACAATTCTACTCTATTCATTCTATTATCCTTATCTTATTCCCGTTTCACTTTCTTATCTCCTCCGGTTACTTTTTTATGATTCTTCCTCCGTGTTCGCGAGCTGACCAACAGAAGAACGCTTTTCTTTCATTCTCCTGCTTCAAGGATTTTGTATTAATAGGAACTTCCGGTTCTTCTCGAGATATCATTTATTTTAACGCATTTTCACGATTCCTGTTGCGCGTCAACGGACTGACAAAGGAAAGAAAGCCTTGGATGGTATGCATACCACCCACCACAGTACTTCTTCTACGGGGTGTTTCATTTATATCGTCGCAAGTGCTTTATTACAAAGGACATTATCCAAAGTTGTTTTTGGAGCTAGTCTTTGCATTCGTTTCAATGCATTTTCACCAGCTTCAATTAATTGTCTAATATCCATGAATTTCTTTCGTGGTCATTGTATACAGATTTTAAATTCGCTTCTGTCCATTGCACCTGTTGCATAAAATGAATGAACGCATCATGTAAATACAGCCGAATAAGAGACGTCTATCGTAGGAGTTATAAATAGTTATACATATAGGCAAGTGGTTGTTGTAGGTACAAAATCAGTAATAAGTAATTTAGAGACGTAGAAATTTTGAACCTGACCTGATAACTGTATGCAATTAGAATTGAACAGTAAGCACCAGGCGGATAGGAGAAAAATAGTACATAAATCAGGTTGCCTCTCGAAACACCCCTGATTCATCTGCAAACGATTGATTCGCCGATGCGTTATCTGCTCAGAATCCTTAAGGAAAATAGATAAATCCGTATCGTGGGTTGTCGAACGAAAAGCGTCGTTCCATCTTTCTGTTGGTCTTTCCACATATCTCGAACCCCCTCCAATGATGATTCTGGATCGCGGTCTCGTTCCTTCCACCGTCGCGTCGGGTCTTTCTATCCCTATCCCCGCCCCGTAGCCAGAGCGTCGTCAGAGTCGAATCGGATGGAAGGAAGGCAGCCAGGCTAGGCCCCGCTGGCCGACTGACCGTCCTCGACGTCTGTTCTACCTTTACTCCGGTCTGCGCGTTCTTCAGGAACGTTCGTGCCGTTCTACCAAACCGCGCGATTCCGCCTCGCTAAGGCAGACGTCAACCGTGACCGCCGGCCGCCGGTGCAACTGCAACGTGTATTCTTTTGTCCTCTCGTTCGACCAGTTCGCCGTATAATCAGTTATTTTGTTTTCAAACGTTAAACGAACTCTTCTTCTTCGTCAACTTTGTTCGCCGATTACGCCAGCAGTTTTTGTTTATCTTCTTTTTCCCTCTTTTCTCTCGTCTCGATCGAACAGAATCAAGTGATATGGCACAGATCAGCGTCAAGCTGTCCAGATTCGATGGATCCCCTTGGGGTTTTCGTCTTCAAGGCGGCAAGGATTTTGGCACTCCGCTGGTCGTGCAAAAGGTGAGTGTTCCTTTCAAGGAGATTCTTCGGCTTGACAACTTTCACACGTGTACAGTGAGTCGCCTTTAATTAATAAGGGATTTAGGGCCGCGATCGAATCGGAGTACAAGTTCAGAAAGCACGTTTTCGGTTACGTCGAAGGATAACTTTGAGTGTATCATAAACCGCATTGCTCTTGTACTGTTTCCGCGATTATGCTAATCTAAATGAACACTCGCGGTATTCGTAATTATGGTCAAACGTTTCTTTTCACGAAACCGTTCAACTTGCACTGCTTCTCATCTCGCATTACTTTTCAGTCGAAGAATTTAGAAAACCACACTGTTCTCGGGAAAAACTTTGACAGTAACGTGAAATGTGTATAAAATAGTAATGCTAATTTGATTACGTCTTCAATTCTGAAACACGAGTACGAAATATTTGTTTGCGTTTGCTTCGAATTCACCTTTAATTTTCAGTAAGGGGTTCTTTGTGAACGTATCTACAGGGGTATATGATGGAATTAAATGAAGTACGCCAGGTGCGTGAGTGCATGGAACTTACCTTGACCGAATAAGGGTTAATTAACCCTTCCATCAAAATTTTATTAAACAGAAATCGTCGTACCTCTAAAGATATCGTTATATTAATATTGCGAGGTGGTGCATAGATCGGATAAAAAATGATCTGTTTAAATTGCAAAGTGATCTGAGTAACTGCTCATTGTCAACCTACCAATACGTTCAGATACACAATGATCTCTCGCTAAGAATTTTAGAAAGATTTTATGATGTCCTGCACATCGCTTCAGGAGTTCTTTCCTCGTCGACCAACTTCTAGAAACCATCAGTAGCTATCTTACGATTATCGATAATAGGCTCTCGAACTCATTATCAAAGTTGACTACAATTGCCTGTGACGTCACCGATACCAAAGTCCTTTAGATCCGAAAAAAAATTTATATCCAGTAGTTTATCATCATCGACTTTCTTTTCTGACTTTTATCTGCGATAAAACATAACACGCGATATTTAAAATATAACACACGAAACTTCGCTTTAACGGTATAAAGAATTTGACGGTTTAAAAAATGAAGTAGAGGGTTAAAGCGAAAGTGATTCGGTTGTATTTTGTGAAGGGGTATGGTCTTTAGCTTTTGTCGATTCTTAGCTGGTCAAGGCTCGTGTATCTTTTTTCTGTTGTTGTGATTACGGACTATAAAATGATATTACGTAATATACAGGCAAACGCCAAATTATTTCACGCGCATCGGTAGAAATCTCTGCCAACTACGTGCGAAACGCTCGGCTCGTCGTGGTCGCCGTGTTTTGGCGAACGGGGCGGACTGTAACACGAGAAGCTTTTGGCTACACTCGACTTTCGAGCGAATTTTCAAACTTTCTTCGTTTATTTCGACTATTTGACCATTGATGCAACCGCTTACGAAATATCGATGCAAATATTGTGTCAAGCTTTGTCCTTGGTGCATCTCCTTCGTTTTCTATTTGTCCGCGCGAGAAGTCTCACGCTTATTATCGTTGAGAAAGGAAACCATTATTTTCTCTACTTTTACGTCTTTTACGCTCGCATTCTAATTTGCCTGTTGATTTATTAGGTCATTCGCGTCACGTGTTTACATCTGTATGAACTAAAAAGTTTTTGTTTGTCTGTCTTTTGTGTGACATGTTTGATGACATGTTTGTCCGAGCGTGGACGTTTCGTTCCTCGTACGAAAACGACTCGAGGTCTTATAAAGTTCGTCTACAACGTTATTGTAATGCATGATTCAGAGAATACCGACCACAAATACTGATCACGTGTATCTAAAAATGATAAAATTTGTTCTAAAACAAAATTAAAGTGTTCAAACGAAAGTTAAAAAGACAAACTTCTGGATAGTCTTAAAATTGAATCAATAACATGGAGCTTAGAATTAAAAGTTAGGTGTCTGCATTTCTATCCGCTTTTACTACAATGTGTCTTGCCAGTTACGTCTCGATCCACTGCAGCCGCGAACGCATTGAGGAATCGATGCAGGTGTGTTATCGAATCATAACATCGTTGCAAACGATACCATTGATCTTACAGCTTAAGTTGTTTACTATGCAAAATTGTTTAGCATTAAAGATAAATTCGATCGAAGATAGCGATGTGTACAAAGCACGCGAAAAAGAAAATTTCGAATAAATGAAAGTTTCATGTACAAAAGCGAGTGACGTTCAAGTGGACATCGATGGATGAACGATTGGTTCGAACGGCGAATCGATAAGCTTCGTTACACGCGATCAATTCGTAATCCGATGTGATAGGAGTGTTTCGCATCCCTCAGACTCATATTTCTCTCCTTTCCGAGAAACTCGAGGGCGGCCGGACGTCGTATTTGCGGCCTCGTAAAATAAACGGAGCACGTGCTGCTAAGAAGGCCAAGTTCGAAATGTCGATCGGAAGATGAAGTTGTTTTACATGCGAACAACATTCGCTAGCGTTTATCGATCGTTTCCTTGATCGTATCCGAGTGAAAAACCTCGAGATTCGCGCGAGATTGTACAGGTGTTTCTGAGTTTACACGATCCGCCATCTTTGCGAAGCGGTGTCCTAGACCCAAACTTACTACTGCTGATTTTACAGGAAATTCTCCACGAATCGAGTAACGTTTCTTTTACTGATCCAGTGATCGAAGTAATCTAGTAATAAATTTAGGTTACCAGATTTCTTAAATCCTAATACTTGTACATCCAAATATTTCTGTCATCCCTACATTCTTATATCCCTGTATCTTAGAATGTTTGCATTTCTATATTTCTAACGTCTTACAATTAATTTTTTGTTACAACTTATGTCCAATTGTGATTGTTATAAATATTGCCCGTTTCGCAAACGAGCAATTTGTAAAGTATAACTCGAAGAGGGACATTGCGCGATTGTTTTGAAAAGGGTGGAAAAACAGTGACGAAACAATCGGAGAACGGTTTTTAAGAACCGATGCATTAAGGCGTGTTTAAAAGGAGAGAAAAAGGAGAGACTGAGAGAGGCAGAGACGCGTCGCTGGTAATCCGAGGCAAATTATTTGGGCGTTCTATTTCTAGAAGGTGCCTTTGCGAAACGCGCAAGCCGGGTCGAGCCCTGCTCGCGAAGACAACGACGAAGGCAACGTCGACGACGTCGTCGTCTTCGTCGTCGTGTCGTCGTCGTTGTCGTAGTCGACGACGACGAGCTTCCTGGGCCGCGTTGGTCACCGCGAAAATAAATTTTTCGACGGAGAGAGCGATCCTGTGTCGATCGATAAAAATACCGATCGACCGGAGCGCTGATGGGCAACTGTGCCCGCGAGAGAGCGGTACACGACCGTACAAACGCCTAATTCCTTTAACTCGAGTAGTTTAACTTTGAAAGTTTCCCTAATTTCTAAATACTGCAAAGTTCTGAAAACATTGCTGTGCTCTTCGACTCGATGAATTAACGCAGCCACTCGATATTTCCCTCCTCTGCCGTTCCACGTATTCCTACGCTACGGATAAGACCACTGTCGAGGGTGAACTCCTGGGAATCAGACAGATCATTTCAAACGATACTCGTATGAAATTTGAAACGTACACTCGCACGAGTTGTTCCCTCCATCGCTCTCGTTATCAATGCAACGTGCACGTTTTCGATTAAGCGAGTGAGTCAGCAGTGAATTATTTTTTCTTCAGCTTTCATTCATTAGTAAGAAACGGATAAACCGAAGTTTCTCATGCTTCGCAGCCTTCTGTCGAAGTAGCAAATTCAACGATGAAAGTGGTATCGATCGATTTTATCGAAGTAGCAACTCGGTCAGTCAACATATTGAACGTAGTAATGGTAGACATTAGTTCAATCTGATCGTACTTAATCTTTATTCTAATCTAAACCTAATATAAGCAAGGTATCGACGTCTAGAATTATCGTTTCTTATCCGATAGTCTCGGAAGAGATATTAAACAATTTCTTTTCATCTTCGTTTCGACTGGGTTTCGTTAAAGAAGAATGCTTCGTAGTATCGAAAGGGGAAAGAATATTACTCGATATCGCGTTTACGTTCGCGTAATCTGCGAGAAACAGCTGCGTGCATCTGCGCGCGAATTTCCGTGATTCCGTTTCGATGCAGTCGGTGCAACGTGGGCGCGTTGGTTACGCGATATTTCGTTCCCGAACGATGCATACGCGCCATATTATCGTCGCAAGGAAGGACTCGACATAAATTCCGAGTGTCGTTAGCCGATATATGTATAACGTCACGTCGATAACGCCTCTTTATCGTTACCATTTTATTTTTACCCTGTCACCGAAGCGGCTCCGATGTCTAATTATTAACGGAGAAACAGTAAAGTCCAAGGTTGCGAACGATTTAAACGGTGATCGGTATTGTCGCTTCTCGATCCCGTTTCGTACATGTGGGATTTTCTTCCAAAGGTCGGACGCGTTATTATCGTTCTCGATTAGTAGAGGAATGCGCTTTTAAAGGAGGTTAATTACTCGTTTCCTTTATCAAGGCTACGCTCATTAATACGTTCGGTAAGAATCGACGGCTTAATTATTTCGCTCGTTAAACGCGCTGGGAATTTCGTCGGATCGAAAGGGCTTCGTTATCTCGTACGAAAGAGCCTGGAAAATCGACAACGACGTTACGCAAGCTTCGACGTTAACAGGTAGCTAGCTCGAAAATACCAGCTACACTTCCTTCCGATAAAGGTTAACACACGAAATGTGGCAATCGCTGGGATTTTGCCAGAAGCGCGTGGGAAGTAAACGATTTACCGGATCACCGTTGAAAAATGAAGAAGTTATCGCGGCGAGCGAAACGAAACCGAAGCAAATTATATACCGCCCCGAGTTAAACATAGAAACAAATTTTCGTAAATACCGGCCACTTCGGAACACCTGACCAAAATTATTAACGCCTTCGCGGCTATATACTCTACGCCCCTATGGAATCGATGGATCATCGGACTTTACGTTTTTATATCGACCATCGGGAGGAGATTGATTAACGATGCTGCAGA